TGCTAAGCGAACCATGTTTAGCATCATATTTTACAGACAGATGTGGAATTCTTCTTCTTGTCTACCTCTTGTCAAAAAGACCAATATAATGGGTTGGATAGTTATACAGTACAATTTGTGGTATGAAAATTCTGACATTTGACACAGTGATTTCTGGGACTGTGAGCTAAGGGGCTGCCCAAAATCAATAATTTGTAACTAGGGGATAACAAAATGGCTTTTCGACACAAATAGTCACTTTAACTTGATACTCTTTCCTATTAAGGGATGTGTAGTAAAATGTCTGAGACGTGGACTTCTAAAGGAGAACACAGTTATACCAAAAAGGTCTTAGGTCACAAGTGTGGTGCTCTTGTGTTGGTTGGATGACCCACTTTTCAAGTACAGGGTGTGATTAGCCGGCTCCTGCCATGACATAGTGCTCTGAGTACTGAATGTGATGGCAGGTCCCGAGGTGCCGGGTGACCGATGTTGAGCCTCCAAGTGAGGAGGTTGTGGGAAAGTGGTGGACTTAAAACTATTGACAAGCGGGACTGTGTTGAGTTAAAGTTTGGTGTGTTATACAGCGACTTACCTTAAAAAGAAGAATACCAGTAGAGAACTTTACCAACTGTTTAGTGATTCATATATATCAAAAGCAGATACATTTAGAACATTGCAGAACTGTTTTCATAAGGGGAAATCTTTCTTTTATTACATGATGAAGTCATATTTCTAAGAATGCTAAGAGGGGGGATATGCTTTTTGTGTTTTTCTTTTGGATTTGACAGAAAGATGTCCATCTGTGACCAGTGCTCACCTTCCAACTCTCTCCGGGGCCTTGCAGTCTCCAGATTAGCAGAAGCATCTACAGGGAACTTACGTGCTTGTTTGGCCTCAGGCTCATTGACTGTCTTTACAGCCTGATCCTGAACCTCAGCAGTGACAGGTTCTAATTGTGCAGTTAGTGAGTCAGAAACTGAGTCTGACACAGACTCTGAGACCAGGTCTTTTACCAGGTCAGGGGCCCAGGACACACTGCCTTTCTTGCCCCCCTTGTGTTTATTTTCAACGGGGTCAGGCTGTGCGAGTGCTGAGCTATCTGGCCCAGCCCCCTGCCTGGCCTTAGTGTCAGCCTGAGCTTTATTGCGCTTAGTGTAAAGGGGGGACTGGACATTTTCATGCGTGCCCGTCCAGCGTGGCCTGTGCTCAGTTAGTTGGCCAGCGTTACCCCCCGGACCCATCTCCGGCAACACACCATGAGGGATGCCGCCCCCTACAGGAGTTAGCAGAGAAAAGCAAAAGAGGCTTTTTTAAAGAAACAGGCACAAGATCTGTTCACAAGTCAAGTCGAGAAGACTAGCAGAAACATAAACAGTTCTCTCTATCAGCCTAGAAATACAGTGAAATGTCTTCATCTGACTGGGAGTGAAAAATGAAGACAAGATGACCAACAAGTGACATCCATGTGAGGAGGTGACAAGACTTTATTTTGGATTATGAGAGCATGCAGGTGTTTGAAAAAGGACAGGCAATGACTGTTTGCGTGCAGGCTTTATAGCAACCCTCTATGAAAAACACTGTAGACTTCCATTAAAAAGTGAATATGAAGTATTGTATTTGTTTTTAGCTTTGAGCTGTTGCTTATCTATGTATAACATGTAATTTAATTGTACTGTGAGTTACGTTTTTAAGAGGTAGTAAAGGGGGCAGTAGTTTAACAGCCCATTCAATTCTTTGTATTTAAACAAAGTAGAAATCATTGTGTTTCCTAAAAACACTACCAATATGTCTGCCTGAAGAGAAACACACTGGCATTGTGTACTAAGTGAGTGTGTTTCATGAGGGAAAACGGAGAAAGTTGCTCAGTTAAAAGTTTGCCAGTGAATGAGCAACATCCAAAGGCTGGAAGTTATTTTGGTTGAAATGCCAAGAGTTTTTAGGGACCACATGCAGGAGATAAGGACGATTATAACAGCAGCAGAATTGGTATGTTATCCTATTCCATTTTATTGTTTATCTTATCTTTATCTTTATCTTGATAAGGTGATGATACTAAATGATTGCTTTATAGAATTACAGTATGGCGTCCAAGTTGAGGAGATTTTTTGGGGGATGTATAGATTATTGTATAGGGTGTTATTACTATAGCCTATATATGATTTTTGCAGAAATGTGCTGTATCATGACGTAACTTATAAATGAAAAAATACTGTTATTTTAGCCATCAAATTCAGGCACCAATTGATCAGAGCAATTCCACTGCCAGGTTAGTTGCGATATGAGAGGTTTAAACAGACACAGACACACATTAAGGGGCTCGATGGGGCGGGGAGGTGTGTGTGACGGTACCTTTAGCACCATGTGGGGTTGCCGACACGCCTTGTGCCCAGGAAAAGTGAGGGAAATGGGGGATGGTGGTGGTGTGTGACGTTGGGCTGGTTTGTAACAACCACTGAGTTGGATCAGAATGACCCAAATTAGAGGAAGTCTACAAGTCCTGACCCGCCTCAGGCTGTGCAGGGAGGAGGAGGAAGAGGAGGAGGAGGGAGGGTGTATGTGACTGGACATGGTGGTGGGTAGGTGGGGCACATACCAGTGCAGAACAACGTGATAGGTTGACAGGGTGGAACCATGGTGGAGAAAGTGTGGGAGTGTAGATGCTGATGGTATAACAAACTGAAGACATCATGTAAAAATGCAAACTCTTGCATGTCTTTTATAACTTTAAGAAATGTCCTAATATAATATGTCCTAACATAATTTTTGTTACAACCAATACAAGTTAAAAAACATACTTCTCCATATATTCAAACGGCAATACCAAAGGCTGACTTTTAAACAATATTAAAACGCTTTTCTATAGGTGGATTTTTCCTAAAACCACACATCTAAAAGACAGGATGACCTATGTAAAGTTTTACTTACCAATAGCAGCCTTCACCTCCACAGGCTCAGACTCTGGGGAGAACTGGCTGAGCCCTGCTGCGTTCACTGCCCTCACCCTGAACACGTATTTCTCTCCCGTCGTCAGACCATGGCAGATGAACCTGTGAATGTGTTTCAAATATGATAATGGCTTTGTTTTTATATACAAACTCCTCTATATGGCTAACAGGAAAGGAGTTGTTTTACCTGGTAACATTAACAGGCTTGTTGTTGCATGGCTCCCACTCATTGCTGTCCAAAACGCTCGCCTCAATGTAGTATCCAACCAACTCCTTAGCTTCACTCGATGCTTGCCAAGACACAACAACGGATGTGTCTGTGTTTCTGATAGGGACAACTTTGCTTGGGGCAGATGGGATATCTGTGGGCCAGAATGCATGGTGTCATTAACTGTAAATGGGACATAATGCTATGATGATGCCTGCATTTGTGTTTTCTAACCAAGCTTGTCTCCAACAGTTGAGGCCTCCGTTGGGTCAGATGGCTCGCCGACACCAGCAGCGTTGCAGCAGCGGACGCGGAAGCTGTAGGAATTCCCCTCAGCGAGATCAAACAGGGCAAAGCGAGGAGACTTGACGGGGATCTCAGTGTTCACCCTCTGCCAGGTGTCTGAGCCCGCAACACACTGAAGCAAAGATACGAAGTGTGAGTTTTTCCATAATAAGTCACAAATAGGAAAATGGTCAATAACTTACTTTTTCCACATAGTACATGACACCCTCAAGCCCTTTGTCGCCAGGGGGCTTCCAGCTCAGCACGACATAGTTCTTGGTGGCCTCTGTCACCTGCAGCTCAAGAGGTCTGCCAGGAACAATGCCCTCTGAAGGTCAAGAGATAAAGTATGAGTCCCTGAAGACACCATTTAAATGAGCAAACTTGATTTAATCAGCAATTGTCAAAAATAAGTGTCCTACCTGCAGGCTCCTCCTCTGTGACAATGATTTGGCCAGTCCAAGGAGCAGAGGCACCTGATCAAAATCATGAAAAGTTATGAATTAAGGATTTAATATTATTATTATTAAAAGAAACAAAGAAACATATGTCTAAATAATATTCTGGAACAATAGGAAAAAATAATAAAAATAGAGCCTATATCGGCCAATAGCATTGTACCTGACTCATGTTGTACTATTTTACTTGAATGACTTCGTAAAGCTCTTTAAATATGGATAGGAGATAGGCTGTATTCTAGCTGACAGACATTAAAAGGCTGCAGTACCTCTAATGCGGGCGCGGTCAGAGGGGTCCATGGCAGCCACCGGCTCAGAGACCCTGGACGGGTGGCTCATGCCATTCTGGTTGACGGCACGCACACGGAACATGTAGGAGCGGCCCTCCACCAGACCGGTGACGGGGAAACGGGCAAACTTAACCGGAGTGTCATTGCACTGGACCCAGTGGGTGGTTCCAACCTCACATCTGAACACAAATTACAATAGGTTATAATATACATCCGTTTTTAACAAAATGTTCCTAAATAATTACTGACTCCCAGATTTTTGGAGAATGTGTGCAAAGGATTGAGTGCAGCTGTTTGATTTTAAAATACCAGTCAGTGGCATTCTTGCTATTGTATTTATATAAAGGTTATTTTCCGTAATAAGTAGTGCATCTGGGATTGGTATCTGTTGGTTTCATACCAGACTTTTCAAATAGTACTTAAATACATTATTATTATCTTTTCCCTCAGATTTTCATTTAAAAAGAAGTCCTGCAATTAAAAATGTTTTCAATATACATTATGTTTTGTAATTTGCAAAGCAAGCCACTGAAACTGCTTCATTAAAACATTTTCATGAGAATAACTAGGTACACCAGAGTTAGAGACAAATCACAAACAGAAAAAAGTGTAATGTCACAGACAATTATGTTCAATTTATGTTATGTTGTTCTCCCATTCTCTTAAATCTTTGAGGTTTGTTTTCCAGATGACCACTCCTGTGAGACAATTTACTGAAATGTCTAGCACCATATTGACCTACCTGTCCACAAAGTATCCCAAAATGGAGTCTCCCCCATCAACAGCTGGCTGCTTCCAGGTGACGATGATGTAATCCTTGTTGGCATCCAGGCAGCGCACATCCAGAGGGGCCCCAGGAGCTCTTTCAACCTCAGCTTCAGAATCTAACACATCCAGAAACACCAACAATAAAATAACGGTATGCATACTTTCTTTTGTTTTACACACTATTCTTTTTCATATTTCTTTATCTTTCATTTAAAGTGTTGTCTATAATTGATTGCTTCTACTGGTGGGTTTAAAATGAGCTGTGTGACGTATGTTGAACGGTTTGGGCTCAGCCCTTGATGCCAGGAATGTTTCTGGTCCTCACTTTAAACACAAGCCAAGAGCAATCAGCGAGAGGAGGACAGAATTAGCTGTAGCCCCCCCCCCCCCCCCCCCCCCCCCCCCCCCCCCCGGAGTGAAAGGGGATAAGAGCGATGACTCTTAAAGAAACATATGGGGTAATGCCAGGCCACCTAAGAGTTGCATCATTAAGTCGGAGCAAATATCAACTGGGTCAGTGTGTATCCATGCAGCTTAAAAGACAAAGTGTGTTCGCTCACAAAGAGAAACACAGATCAATAAGGACACTGGGCAGCTTATTGTTTCTCGTCTAGCAGATATTTACAGTATCTTTCTGCGCCAGTGTCATTCCATAGCTCTCTGAGAATAGCCCAACGGCAGCCAGGCTCATATAGCGTTTTGTTATGGAGACTGTACCTGGTCTCCTTGTTCCCCCCTGGGCAACTCTGAGTCAACAACAGGGTCTATTTTCTAGCTTGTTCACACTCAGCGTGTAGGAGCTGAAGCTGTAAAGGTCAGATTGTCTCTGAAGGCACCAAAGATAAGCTTCCCTGACCACCTTCCACAGTATTCAAACCCATGCCAAAGAGTTTCCACTGTGTGTTGTCGCTATAAAGATATCCTTTAAAACCAGTCACTCAAATTTGACTATTAAATGTAGTGTTTTTATCAGCTGCCAGAGGACAAGCTGTTGCTTTGACCTTGACCTGATTACATAATCCGCAATAACAAGCTGCATTTAGCTTTGGTTGACTATAATGGTGGTGAAAATGTCTGTGCAAAGACATGTTATGCACTCATTCTTTTTGGGATATTTATTTCTTACGGATAAGTTACGGATGGCATACCCACCTCTGACAAAGACGTAGGCGGAGTAGGTTTCATATCCAGACTTGGTGGTGACACGCAGGGTGTAGAGCCCCTCGTCCTCTTTGTTCAGGTGTGCGAGGGTCATTGTGGCGTGATCTCCACTCCAGTGCATGTTGTACCATTTAGAAGGAGACAGAAGGACATCTGGGGAAATACAATAGAAGGTGGTTGAGTAACATGTGATAAAAATATAATCCTCTTCAAAAAATAATATACAAACCAGGGACATTCACAACAAATCTTAATGTATTCAAAATCACTACTCATTCCATAGTGTACGATAAGGAGTAGTGCTGAAAAGTATATTTACCCAGGTACTTTACTTTAGTACTATAATTTCCTATATTCTGCTATTCTATACTTCAAGATATCTTCAATTCATAGAGGAATAATTCACTGTTTTCTCCCCTCAGTTAATAAAAAAAACCTTAGTTACTCTGTTGATTCTGATCCCTAATAAAAAGTATAATCAATAAATAAATGATGATGTGATATCAGATGTTAAGATAAGAAACTCAATCATTCAAATGATCTTCATATTTTCATTCTGAAACAATTCTGCCAAATGCTTGTATTTTTGGTAAAATAAGTATTTATTTTGCCAATACTTTTGTACTTTTTTTCAAAAAGAATTATATGAGTGATCAATGGTTTGGGGCGGCTAAGTAAATCCATATTTTGAATTCATCTTCTTACCGTCTCTGTACCACTGGATCTCTGGCTGGTAGCGGTGCAGGGCAGGGGAAATGATGACTGTACATCCAAGACTAATGGTCTCACCCTCTCTTCCAAACGTCACACCAAATTTATCAACAATGTGAGTCTGGAAGTTGACGCCGTACTCACACACAGGGCCATCTGCAAACAGAGCAAGATACAGCAGCTTTAGTCAGAGCTTAAACTGGCATTAATGTGCAAACACTTTGCACACGTCACACGCACAAAGAGTTGAACTAGCGTTCAATTCAAGTGGAAGAACAAAACATTCACTACGAAAGAACATTATCACATCAAAAATCATATCCAAATAACAAACAATAAGCTAGATCGACATTTTTCAGCCAGACAGAAAAAGGTAGGGAAGAGAACACGTGGCATATGTGTAGGAATAAAGAACAACAGCAAATACGAGCTAAAAGAGTGACTATGAAACAGAACAGTGCTCCCAAAAAGTGGATGTTTTCGTCATTAGCATGCATTAAACAGTGAAGCACATCACACTTGTGAAAAACCTGGTTGAAAGAAATCACTCAATATTCAGTGATTTCAGATGTGGAATTAGTTGAAAGGATCTACAGTACAAAATGAAAAAAGATACTCTACAGTTTTGTATTTCCAAGGCTCATTGATGGCAACAAAATCCCTAATTTTACGCAAATGCATCTTCTCACACTAGCACATTCCTTTAAAAAAAAATGGACGCATAAGCTTGCAAGGTTGCATACTTTAACTCAGTGTCAACTCTGAAATGCTGAAAAATCTGTAGATTTTTCCATACAAGGAGTACTGTGAACACCATGTACACAGACAAGTGGTCATGCAGAGACCAAACAGTGACAGTGATCACATGACCCTGTTACCTTCAGTACTGCCCCCTGTATTATTGCCACAGCATCAAGGAAACAGAACAGTTGTTAGTGCAGTAGTGCACAGCCCCCAACCCCCACACTATTCACTGTATATCATTGTGTACAGTATAAGCAGATATCCAGCAAGAGTAAAGTCAATAATAAAATCAAAAAATCAAATGACAAATAAATGCATAATTACCATTATTACTATCGTTTTCATTATTACACTATTGTTTTCTTTGTTCAGTCACTTTTCTTACATCAGCATTGGGCAGATATTTTCAGCATCTTAAAGTAAGCAGCTGTACGGTACATGCGCACAGCAGACAGACACAGTTAGCAAATAGCTGGTGAAAATAATCAAACATCTTTCTCAAGAACTGTTGAAGACAAAAACAGAGCTAAAAGGAGAGTACATTTTATGACATATATTCATCAGGTTGGCAGAAAAGCAAATGCTAACGTAGCTCAGAGTCTGCTAGAGGTATAAATTAATGCAATATGCTAACACATTAGCTAAAAACAGCTTAACAAGACAAAGTATGTTTATGCTGTGTTTTTTTATCTTGTTCTTCTACTCCGTAGTGGTCGTACATCAATGAATGTAACATGAATTCCACAATTTAACATACAATAAATACAAATACACAGTAAATTCACACTTACGTCTAGGGGATGGCAGGGACTCATCCATATCACCTTTGAACCCTATGGAGAAAAGCAGTAGTTACCATTACAGCGAACACATAGTGTGCAAAGTATTATACTGTCAAGATATCAAAATATGAGATTATACACCATGACATTTGCCACGTTTCACTGGCTTAGGCCTCTCATTAATAGAAACTTACAAGTAAAAGTATATTTGGTTCCTACTTTTAAGAGATGTTGCAGTTAATACATCGGTATATGCAGAAAAAGCCTTTACATTTGGCAACTTTACTTATTTACTGATTAACTGATGTGCAATGAGCTATAATTACTGGCTTTTCTTGTTCTTTTAACACATTTTGTGGAGCTTGTTCATGATAGGTGAATTGGGGTGTGATGATTGTCTGACTTTCTGAAACCTACTCTTTACAACGACAGAGGCAAATGAAGACAGCTCTCCCTTGGAGTTCATGGCAGAGACACGATACTGCGCCGTGTCATCGAAATCACATCTGAAAGAGGAGAGCATCAGGTGATCAATTCCCATGATAAGCAGAATCTACTGTACTGTGCCCTTCCCCCATTTCAACTTCAGCCCTCCCAAACATGTAAATAATACCAAGTATGTGAGCCCTGGCTGTAAGCGTTCCATATCTCCTGAATACTTTGGTTATAAATAGAGACCACTGCTGATGTCATGTGCACCAGGTGGTGAGGGTCTCACATGAAAGTATCTGCGGCCGACATATTCTACTAAAATGGAAAATATATCATCTCATTTGTTTCTCCTTGTGATTTTGAGTGTGTTGACATGGTCTTTGATCTTAGAGTATGGTGAAGTACATGTAAAATAAAAGTACTTTGACTGGTTACATTTAACAAATCCAAACTAAATCCTATCCTTAATTCATGTTGACAGTGTAGATTGGCATTACAGTTACATACATTGATCCAATTAAATGTCAAATATATGAATCAAACCCCACTTGATTGTTAGCTAGTTGGTAGCTAAGCTAAGTGCTTAAGATGGCAGACAGCAGTAAATATGAATCTAAACATCCCATTTTCCTTCCAAAAACACAATAGGAGGAACTGCTTACATTCCGTGCTTTTCTATAGTCTATGGTCTATTGCTAGATAATTGTACTGGCAGGAAAGTGAAAGGGCCCAGGATGCCATTTTCCCCTTAGCCTGCGGAAAAGAGCATAGCTAATAGCTAGCTAATTACAAGTCAAAATAACATAAGAAAAATAAGTCTACACAGGCTAAGATGTATGCAAAGTCTAACACATTTGGCAATGTTTCATTTATATTTACAAAACCTGTTACAGTGTTGAATGTTTTTGGGGAGATTTTATTTGTATAGTTGTAGGGGAAGCTACACCTACCTGTTGATCTCCAGTGAGTGCATGTTGTATTTGCTCTCAAGTTTATACTTGTCACCATGGCCAACAGGGTCGATGGCAACATTGTTTTTGTACCTTTTAGTAGGAGGCAGCAAACATGAAAGAAAACAGACCAGAGGAAAAAGAAAGAACTTGAAAATGACAAATATAATAGATAAAGCCATCTAAATTAGATGAGTCCAAGCACAGATGAATAGGCAGGCGAGAAGGGGACAGAAAGGATAGATTTAAAGATATCATATTGGTTATTATGTATGTCTGTGACCTACCAGACGACCCGGGGGTCCGGCCAGCCGCTGACAGTGCAGTGCAGCCGCACACACTGCTTCTCCCACACAGTGTGGGAGCGCGGTTTAATCACAAACTCCGGGGTATGCATCAGGCTGTCTTCGTTCATACGCTTAAAGTGTACCCCGTGTTCATGGATCTACAAACAGAAAAAATCACTCAGGACAATTGAACTTTAAACTTAACAAATATATATAAAGTATATTTCACCAGGTATTCACACAGTTGAAGCAAAAACAAAGCAAACTAATTCAGCAACATCCCTTCTTTTTCCCATGCAAGACGTTTGTACTTTTAAACTTGAAACGTGTTGTGAGTGTGTGTCGTTCATTATGTTCTGAGAATAGCTAGGGGTCTTGAGGCATCGTCTAGTTGAGCGTCCAGTAACCATTCAACACATAAAATGACAACACCACTGGGACACTGCCTCCCTATGTCTCAAGAAACAGGATCCCCTAAAGAATGTGCCACCTAGTAGTAACGCTATCTGGCAGAGTGAAGACAGATTAATACAGTGAAGCGGTCACTGTGGATTTTATGATGCTTAATGAATGGTTGGATCCTACTTCACATAATCACCCTGGGACAATAATAACTTCCTTGTGTAAGGAGTAGTAACAAACACCAAAGGCACTTAGGTATCACTAAGTAGTACTGAAATGATTTCTGCTCAGTGATGCAACCATGCAGCTAACCTCATTTTGTAATGTAGCCTGATATTATTCTATGATTGGAGAACATATATTTGTAATATTATGAAAGAGGATAGTCTAATCTGAAGATGTCAGATGGCTTTCTGTATTTCAACAATCATATATTGAAACATTTAAAAATGGACCTGTCCACATTAGGTTTCAAAAAACTCAATACTGCTGTTGGACAGCATAGTGACAAAATGCAAGAAAGAAAACTGTAACTGCGACAAAGGGTTGAAAGAACACAATGATCAAGATCTACTAAATGATTTACATTAAGTGACAGTAAGAGTAGCCTTCACAATCATGTCACTCATTTTGTGATGTAAAAATGATAAGCAGTTAGTTATTTCTATTGTTGAAAGAGTATATCACCTCCTGTACAAGCTCTAAAAAGCTACATTTAGAATTCCCCCACTGACCCTTTTGTTTAGAGAGATGCGCTCGGCCGTCTCTCGAATGGCCTCCCTCCTGGAGGTCTGCTCTGACCTCTCCATCTCCATGCCACTGGTGAACAAATCCCTGCGGGCCATGTACTCAGAAGAGTCCCGCACCCTTGCTTCCTCTCTACTCGAAAACCCAGTCCCAAACTCTTGACTAGGAGTTTGTAGAGAAGGTCCAGGAATGGGGAGTTAGGCATAACTGTAAAAAATGGTCTCCAAACACTCCTGTCGTATACTTTGAAGAGATTATTACCTGCCCCTGAAGATAGGTACTACGTAGCCGATGATTTGGTGGTCCTTATCCACAGCCAAGTAAGTTGGCTTGGCCCTCTTGAGTATAGGGCTCAGTCTGCTCGCTTCCAGCCCATAATGTGTAGACACGTTAAGTCTGTGACATTTAGAAAACCATCAGCCTGGCCAGACAATGCAACTAATAAGATTACATCAAAATGTGGGGATGAAGCCATGAGGGGGGTACATTAGTGGTAGATGAAGGTTCAGTGGGTAGTGAAGAGGTTTAGTTGTATTATTTTTATGTGTCCAGAATAATTACATTTTTAGAATCAACAAATGGCATCTGATGCAAAGGACAACATGAGTACCACTGTTGTATTTATTCAATAACTAAAAGACGCCAAATCGAATAATCATTTATCATACTCTATTTGCTTTCTAAGGCTACAGTTCGGGAAGGAATGACAAGTGGAGCGATGAAAGAAAAGACGTTTTAGATTTGAGGTCAGACGCCACACAGTTTGTCTGTGGAAACACTATCGGCAGCACTCAGAGTTGGGGGTGGGGGCTCAGGGAATGAGATAACAAGAACTTGATAAGCAGGGGGGACCAGATTGGTGACAAGGCTACTGCTCTCTTTTTCCATGTATCTATCTGGGACACTTTTCCTTCAGCTCTGACCATTTACACATTCTCCAATGTCCAGAAATAAGACAGCAACCACACCTTGGATTCATTACTGAAATCCAGTAAACGTCAATGTTCCTTCCTAAATAAATGCAGTATCTTTGCCAGAACGACATTAATGCAACCACTCGGACTGTTAAATCATCACATCATAATCCTCCTCTCATCAGCACAGATTTGGTGGCTGGTGTAAAGGCAAAGATCCGATGGTGTAAGTCAAACCTAAGCCCCCTGACCTGTTCACACTCTCCAGGCCAGTGTATTTAAACATAAGCCACTGTAAAAGATGGGACCCCCATACGCAGGGTGTTTTGTAAATCCTTAAATATGAAAGAAGAGCACCTTCCCAGGGACAGAGAATCCATATCATAAAACAGCTTTAAATCAGTTACTTGACACCGCCATCATTCTTTTCCGGTACATTTGACCAAGCATATTCTCTACAATAACACCAATGCATTCAACAATAACCACTAAAGAACAACTTGTGCCTTTTGGTAACTTAGTTTTTAATATATAATGCATGTAAATGATATGAGGTTTTAAAGAGACTGACAATCTGTCATTTGTTACTTTCCCTCCAGCATGGTATGTACAGGTCAAGATTCTATTTCAGTCTATGCCATATATACCATAACTCAGACTTTGCATTTCCGTCCAGCTTCTCTAACCAACAGTCTTTCTTTCATTGGAGGAAAAACCTTATAAACCGCATATACAAAAATCATTTGAGTTATTTAGGAATAGATTTGTTACAGATAAGAGTTCATGAGCATGCAGAAAAGCAAACCGGGCCTTTACTAGTCATCATGCAAGGAGCTTCATGCTGGATTCAAAGATGTTCATTAGGGAGCAAAGATCCTTTGGTGTGTGTGAAGGTTGATCAAGGAGAATCAGAAGAGGGAAGGATGGTTACTTTGGTGTCAATATGGCAGTGAAGCGGGACATATGATCTCATAGCTGTGACTGGGAAGTGATCCAACAAGGTTGATGGAGATGAACTTTAGGTTGGGTGTTAAGGGGAGCTTCCTGTGACAAGAAGTGGATTGATGAAGGTATGATCTTCTTCCTCCTTCTTACCCACTGCTCCTGCTGGTGGCAGCGGAGGTGCTGCTGCCAGCAGTGTACCTGCTGCTGGTCTGGTACTGGCTCAGTTTGGACTCCGTCTCCTTGCTCCTGTAGTCACGGTCATAGTGGCGGTGGTGCTTCTGGTAGAACGGTAAAGATCCAGACATGTTGCAGGCCGCTCCTGGTGTTAGCCGCGAGCTTCCGAGTTTCTTGCTGCCTACTTTGTCTGTTTGGTTAGTTAGTGTTCAAGAGCAGGTGGATTTACCGTTATCATAAACTGTAGGTCAATGACTTTCATTTAGCGTTACATACTTTGGTCGAAATCAGTAATTGGCTTTACTGTGCTTATGGAAAACAAATTACTTTGCCAACCTAAATAATAATAATATGGAGAAGTTGGCAATCCCAATGATGCCATTTAATATTTCTAACAATATTGTTGCTAAAAAATGCATAATATTGTCTTGACCAAAAACAGGAAAAACTAAAGGGGTTATACTTTGAAACATCCTCAAATTGCAAATGTAAACCCAATCAGCTAGCTAGACAACATATACTGTAAGGTTCAGGCTTCAGGCATTTTTTCAGCATGCTAGGACAAACATGCAACAATTTCAACCTCACTTATCAGGCCTCCTCCCTGCATATCTGTTGCCACTTACCCTGGAAAAAATCCCTTAAACTCCAAGTTATAGAGGAAAAGATGGTCAAAATCCAAAGCTCGATATCCCAGCAAAACTACAGGTAGGTGCGTTCAGGGCTGCGGTCTACACAACAAAAATAATGTTGTCCCTTGCCAGAATGTCCAAGCAGCAGTCACAACCTTTTATGGTGAGGGTGGAGATAAATATAGCTGAGAGCAGAGTGTTGGGGGACAACACATTTATGGCTGCAGGTCTCTGCTGATGAACATTACTGTCTAATTTGCAGGTAAACACAGGCTTGCTTTTGTCTATTTTGTCTATTTTGTCTAATCTTTTGATATGAATGTTTGCCTCTTATCCTGTCTATGTATAACATACTATCCTAACTCCTGTATTTATGAGTTAATGTACAGATTGTATATGCCTTTCTGTATACTTTGTTTGTTTCTATGTCATAGCCTTATGCAGAAGTAAGCAAATAAATGTGATGGAGTCAACCGGGTATTAATATGACAAAGCCTACTTTAAATTAGGATACAAAAGCACCTCACGATGCAGATTTTCCAAAGGCGCAGTGACCCCCAGATTTCTAAAGTGACCATTTTAAATGTATGAACTAATATTTATTATTATTTGTTTACATTTGAAGATCTTGCTTGCTCTCAGCCCACAGTATGCCATCACTGCTTAATCTCCAGTATCTTTTGTCTTGACTTGTTACCACAGCAGTCTAACTTTAGCTGCTGCATGCTATTGTTAAAGTCTCTTTTGTCACTCTCTCTTTCAGACCCACTCTCCTTTGTGGAAGCTCACAAACGTCCCCTCCTGTTCCCTCGTCTCATCAGAGCCTCCTTAAGGAGAGGTGGATAACTCAATGATTGTTGATGGAAACACTCTCCTGGTGCAAGTATGACTCTTCAGGACTCTTTTGTTGAAAGTCAGTTTATTAGAGGCCATTTGGCAGGCAGATTCAATTTAGCTGCCAGCCACAGATGTTTGGACATTGTTCTTGGAATTTACCACAACACTAGGTAGGTTTCCATGGCAAAAATATCATGTCAGTGAACACCTCTGAGACCTTTGAGTTGAACACGCAAGCTTTTTGGCCGTTACCCACCACTATCCCACATGATAAAACAGTGAGCATTCCAACGTGCCTACAATGTTTTGGCAACAATCTAAAGTGTAAACCCATAAAAGAGATTAACACTGAGAAGAACAATACAATATGTTAAGAAGGGTCATTATCCTTAATGCAGTCGAATACATTTTGAAATATTCTACAATTGTATTATACTGTATGTCAGAAGCCGTTAATAATTTGCCAACATGAATGATTTGAATCAAACTTTATGCTAAACTAAGCTAGCCATCTGCTGACTATGGCCCTCATTTTTAAAATACAAACAGTGGTATTGTTTTTTGATCAAACTATTTGCAAGAAAGCAAATAAATTAGTTTCACTGAAATGCAATTTTCTATTATAGATACATATTTTTGTTATATATGTTATTGTCTTCCTACAGTAGGAACGTAACCAGTGTGATCATACCTTAAGCAAACAAAAGTCACACTGAGCATATTACAGTATGTGTGTAACAATAATATTCACCTGATTGTATTACATATATTTATATCATAAAGTCTGTGTCGAACCCATACTGTACCTACCTATTAGTGAATATTATTGATATCAAAGAATAGAACACATTCTTTCTGTAGGTTCTATCATAAGCATCATGGCCTTTAGTGTAATCTGGTTGATACTGCTTGACTAAGAATGAACAAGAATAAAACGTTTGATAATTATTAAAATGATTAATTGTATCACCTTTTAACTACCATGGTTAATAACATTGAGTTCATCTGTATACTTGAATGCAATCTAATACAACCACCCTGTAGACATTAAGCCTATCATGTTCAGTTTGTTGAGATATCAGAAATGTGATGAATTTTAAAAATGACAGCAGATTGTGGTTAAGTTGTATTATATGACATTTTATTGATAGATGCTCATATATGTGAACTGTGTACTGTATGTGAAGTACATTAATGTTAGCACCATGCCACTTGGTTCAGCTGTCAGGAAATTCCAACCCTATGGACATCCCATGGGATCTATTAAGGGTATTTTTATGCTCTGCTTAGTATGGCCCCCACACATTAAAAGCTACTTGAATGTCTGCGATAACAGTTGTAGACATAAACAAATTCAATTGAATAGCTAACACAATATTAGGTAACAAACTCAAGAAACTGTTTATAATATCAGTGAGCGAAGGAATGGTTTTCTATAAAGCTAGCACACTCTAGTGGTTGGTGATGACACTACATATACAGTATACAGTGTTTAGACTGCTCCTTTGAAAGAGAAGGGATCCAACAGTGAGGTCAAGTTTTTAAATAAATGAACTACAATTGTAACCATCATTACGAATAGTCGTGTTTTTAATGCACGTCACTGGTGGTTTGTTTGCTTACAGCACTATATGGCACATGATCAGTGATTTTGTTATTATCTTTGAAAGTGATATGACAACTGGACAAAAGGCTGCCGTGGCTTGTTTTAACCTGTGAGTCAACAGATTAACATCGTTCCTTTGAGTCCCTGCAGTACTAAGCTTCCCTTTTTGCAGCTATGACCGGGGGTACCAACTGTTGTCTGGCACAAGCTGGGAGTCAGAATCTATTATTATCCATCCTGTCAAAAATGTTTTCTCTTCATTGTTTTGGTTTGAGCATATGAACTTCTTCTCATTTTTACTAGCTTTCACATTACTTCCTCAGGTTAAAGTTCAATTGAGGTTAACGTCGTTTTTATCCAAGAAAAACTTGGCTGAGAAGGCTACAAAAAGAGAATACAGCGCCTAGTAACATATGCAGGTATTTAAGTTTCCAAATGACCATAAAAGAGTAAAAGCAACACAAAAAAGCCTACTATGTATCTTGAAAATAGTGTCAACTAAATAGGGAAAAATGAACTATATATATATGTTTTAATCTGATACATCTAGTAACACAGACATTGCTAAATAATAATTGACTGTTATGTTTGCCTTTTTTCCTTGTGGGGATCATTTAAGTTTTCCCTTGCCTTAATTGCAGGGAGGACGATGTATTCTTTCTTCCCTTAAAAGGGCATATCCAGGAATGTCAAGGCAGGCAAGGGAGTGTTTGTGGAAGTTACATTTACTTTGTTGGGGGGTGTGATGTCATACTTTGTATTTTATTACCACTAAGAATTAAACATTATCATCTGTTTTCTGATACAATTAAGCATTATCTATCCATGTATTATGTATACACCGAAACAACCTATTAATTGCTTTTCAAGATAGTAATAATAATAGTAACATAATTTATGAGTCCCCCTATTTTCTACAGTTGGTTTGCTCTAAATACCCAACAATATTATCAGGAAGTGAAGAGGGCGGTGGTTGAGAAAAGAGCAGCATCGGGCTAGCAGAAGTTTCGAGTTGTCAGGTAAGATTGTGTTCTAGCCTTTTTTTCTGCTTACAATAGTTTACTTTATGAATAATTTGATATTAAGATACCACACAGCTGGTAGCAATATAAAAAGCGTATATCTGAATAACGTGCTATCGTGTCGTTAGGCGTGTTCCGTTTGATTGCATCAAAAACACGGCTAACTGTTAGCTGCTCGGATACTGACTAGACAGCGACTGTTTGGATCCCGAATTAGTATTGTTACTTTTTAAGTGAATTTTTAACCTGGAAAATGTTATAAATCTTCCATGTGAACATAGGTAACTTCCGCAACTGAATGATAAGTGTTTGTAGTGTGCTATCGTTCACAGCCTTGTGCACAGTATCGTAATTATTTTTATGTGACCCAAGCTAGGCCGCAAGCCATTAAGACTGTACACGTAATTCCCCAGGAGTTGTGATTAGGTCAGGTATTATAAACGAATTAAGGATCAAGTTAGTTTTGTTGAAGTTAAACTTTGTAATGTACGGTTTGTCAAGTGCGCAGTACAAACTAAAACAGATGTCACCATAACGTTAGCTCATTTTTGGGGGATCAAGCCAGTCCGTGTTTTTACAGTTTTCATAACCTGATAATGAGTGCTTTGCAATAAATATAAACATTTACATTTTGACTATTTCTTTACTCGGAAAGGCTTTTTTTTTAAAAAGCCAAATGGACGCTTATTTCCTGTCGTCATCCTCCCCGGTTTTTGAATGTACTGCAAACTTTGCTAAAGTGTCGCTTTTTGAACTTGTAATGGGAGATTTATACACAAAATAAAGTGTTTTTTGGCAGGTCAATTAATAACTTCCAGAGAACATTTTTATGACTCAGACATTTAGAACTATAACTGAACGTTACTGGAGACTTATATTTAAAACGTACTAGTTTCATAGAGAAGTTGTAGCCATTTAACTATATTGCCAATATCTAATTATAATACCAAGCAAGGCTTTATACAACTCCCTGTTCAAGCTGGTCGAGCCACTTTCCTTATGTCAACATAAAGATGTAAATGTAGGACAGTTTCAGTCTTCATCTCAGACATGTCCTGATAAGGGCATTTGTCCTCACATCACTAATTCTCCTGCCCTCAGTGAAGCCAGTGAGCTGATCAACATAGAAAGATAAGTGAACATTTCCATTTATAGCTCTGTGAAGGACACCACACTGGGGAATCGCTGCCAGAGAATTAAACACCCTGCCATCCCGTTGTAAAGGCAAACTCATATATAGTAACAGGATGATCTGCAAAACATTTCATGAGCTTGTCTTCCAACGAGTCATCTTTTCTCTGACTGCTAGAGAAAAGATGACTCGATGGAATAGCTACATTTAGCTATGTACATTGTTTTTCTCTGTCCATAGTGTTTTTGAATGATACTGATATGTATGGTTGCCTCCTTAAATAATAAAGTCCAATTGCTGAATGCATAATCTAATCTGTATATATTTATTCTCACAGGTAAACAAAAAAACAGTCAACATGTCTAGCAAAAGAGCAAAGGGAAAGACCACGAAGAAGCGCCCTCAGCGCGCGACTTCCAATGTCTTCGCCATGTTTGACCAGTCTCAGATTCAGGAGTTCAAGGAGGCCTTCAACATGATCGACCAGAACCGTGATGGGTTTGTGGACAAAGAGGACCTCCACGACATGCTGGCATCACTGGGTGAGTAGTAGCATGAGCTTACTAACATCCTAATAGCGTGTGGGTGTGCACCTACATGGTTTTAAAACTCGTTCTACAGGCTGACATTTTTTATTTCACAGTTGTTATTGTCACTTGTACTTAAAACACATTCTGTATTGAAACCCTTTAGCCTAAGTGCAATATACCTGTATTTCTACAGGGAAAAATCCAACTGATGAGTACCTGGAGGCCATGATGATGGAAGCTCCTGGACCCATTAACTTCACCATGTTCCTCACCATGTTTGGGGAGAAGCTCAATGGCACAGACCCTGAGGATGTGATCAGAAATGCCTTTGCTTGTTTCGATGAGGAGGGAGCAGGTACATTCTGACAGTAATTTTCTTTTTTGAACGACAGAAAATAATCCTGGTTTGACCTAGTGAAAGTCCAATTCTCCCCTACACCTTTTTTAAATTTCAGGTGTGTTTTGAAAAGGTGACTGCCCAAAGCAATCTAGTTTTGTTAAGATAGTGGTTTCTTAAAGATGGTAATGCTTTCATTGCAAGTTTATTCATGTCCTTATCTGATCCGACTGTTTCCCCCTCAGGCTCCATCTCGGAAGATTACCTCAGAGATCTGCTCACAACAATGGGTGACCGATTTACAGATGAGGAGGTGGACGAGCTCTTCAGGGAGGCCCCCATCGACAAGAAGAGCAACTTCAACTACGTGGAGTTCACGCGCATCCTAAAGCACGGCGCCAAGGATAAGGACGATTAAAGAGCCATACCAGCAGATTCCTTTTCACCCTTTTTGCCTCTTTCTTCAGATCACCGTGCTGCATGCCTCAACTCTCCAGTATAAACCCCATTTACCACCAAAGCAATAAATATCCAATCTTGTTTGTTGTGAACTTCCAGTTTTGCCAAATGTACACATCTCCAATGAGAAGATAAATCTAAGAGGCTGTAAAATGTTTTTCCTGTCATGTAAAGATGTGAAGTGGCAGCGCCTTGGAAGCTCTAAGGGAAATGTCTTTGCAGTTCATATGATCAGGTTTAGATGCATTTTTACATTTTATAAGATAAACTTTTTAAATAAAGCCCTCTATCAAGTTGTATTATGCCTACTGTTTCCCTTCTATAAATGACAACTGAATTACATATTGCATTATTCTGTCTTTATTTTTCCTGTGGCATAATTCAAATGCCTTTCAAGTCTTGACAGGTCGACTTTCTTCTCACTAAATTCATTCAACATGTTCCGACTAGCATTGGCTGAATTCTTTCTGAAAAATGCCAAATGATCACAACATACACTCGAAAAACCGTGGGTTAATTTGTGTCAATTAAAATCAACAATGGAGAGAGATGTCACCCACATAAAATACCATATTTATTTATGACTTTTCTGTCATTTTAAACGACATACTATTCCACGCCTGGTTTCTACACATTAAAACGTGCCTTATTCCCACATAAAATGCCATGTTTTTTTGTGTACGTTTTTTCATTTTATTCGACATAAAATAAGATAGACCTTTGTCAATCCCCGTGGGGAAATTCAGTAGTTTAATAGCAACAGGGTAAGGATGAAAACCAGGACAGCACAGATTCACACATTAATACAATTAAAAATAAAATATTATAAAAATGATAAAATAACTATGAAATAAGAAAATTATTAAAATTAACATATATAGTGGATATGTGTTTTTTTTGTTATATAATCGACAAACTATACAATGTCGTTTTTTTAAAGATATACAAAATTAAAGTAGTATGACTTTTTCATTTTTTTCGAAATGCAAAGATTTTTTTTCAACATTATACAATTTTTTGAGACATAGGCCTACGAGCCATTATATTTCAACAAACTAAACTGGGACTTTTTTAATGATATTTTTAATATTCTTTCCTATTACCATATATTTTTTTACATGCTATAAAATGACTTTTTTCAAAATGTAGGACTTGCTATACTATGACCTTTTTTAAATTCCTTGATACACTATTCTATGATAAATTATAGATCTTGAAAATATACTGTGAGGTTGTTTTAAATACTATGGTATGCCTTTTCTTAATCCTCTTCGGTATCTTCAAATTGACATTTTTATAAATGTATTGGCACACTTTACTTTTACAATCTGTTTTTGTGTTTTGTCCTCCGGTTAATCATACAGTATATATCTGAATCATAGACTGTATATCTTTTTTCTTACATTTCCAGCTTGATTTTACGCGTCATGGTGCTGCCTTCTAATGCTGTCGGTTCAGACACGATTTATAAGACAAATAGTAATGTCCATCAAAGTTGAAAAGGTTTATAAAATCTTAATGTTGTGGCACGTATGGACACCTGCCTCACCCTTTGTTCTGCTACAGAAACACTACCTAACTTTTTTTAGCAATATTTCTGGTAACTTTACATTGTCAATATCCCTCCTACCAAATACCGCATGAAATGCGTTCAGCCCGAGTCATAACAATCATCAACTGCAGAAAAACGAGGTGCCCTGAACGCCTCATTGTTCTTATGGAACCACGTTACGACAGCATCTTGGCTGACACTGGTGCTGTGAGCCTGTACCTTCGTCCAGGTATACTTTTTGGCGTTTTCACCTCTTCATGTGTGTTTTATTGAATACCGTAAGCTAAAGTGTCAACCTTCGTACAGGGCGACTCATACACTCTAGTTAGGAAGCTAGCAGCTAAGTAGCTAACGTTAGCTAACAGATACGTCAAGGTTGATCGTTTGTAAGTTGACAGCTGAGTAACGACGAAGGGAGCTAAGTTCTGCCTGTAGAATGTTCTCTGAATTACTTACATATTGTGAGTGTGTGTGTGTGTTTTACCAAAGCAATCCTGGAAAAAAGTTTTCTTGTGTTTCTTGTTTCAGTTGGGTCTGAAGATTCCTGATGCAGGGTCATGGCCCTGAAGCTCATCCAGAGATTTCCGCTGCTCGGGCAGTTCGGGATTCTCCGTTACCCTCCGGTTGGACCTGTGCTCCCCTCCAGGCTGCTGAGGACCAGGAGTGAAGGCCAGTCCTCATGTGTAGGCTACGTGCTCACCTCATCCAGCAGCAAGAAGCTCCAATCGGACTATGGGATAAGAAACCTGACCACCATCGTCAAGGAGCCATCCTTCGTCGTCAGCTCTGTGGGTCTCCACAAAGACTCATCCCCTCGGTTCCGTCTGACCCGGCTGCACCAACCCACCGCTGCAGAGGATCAGGCCTTCCAGCAGCGCCTCACAAACTGCTCCTCATCCCGGCAGGTCTTCAAACTGCTGCGCTCCGTGGAGATCATGTCTGACACCATGGCTGCTGCAGCACTTCACCGTGTGGCCGACCTGGAGCAGGAAGGTGCCTCCCTGAAGGACCCCACGGTGCTGGAGAATGACACCCTCCGAGCCCTGTGCTTCCGGCTGGAGCAGGACTCTGGGTGGCTGACGGATGCTGGGATAGTATCCACACTCTTGGCTGGCACTCGCCTCTTCATGGACCCTTGGAGCACACTGATGGTGCGGCTGGTGTCTGAGAGCCAGGAGAGGCTGGACAGAGGGCAGATGAGCGTGAGGCAGCTGTGTAACCTGGGCCAGGCCATGCTGGCTATAGGGGGGTCCAGCTGTGTGATGCTGGAGCAGGTGATGAAGCAAATCCAGGAACCTGCCGATTGGAGCCTTGAAGATCTCATCGCTGCTTATATGTTGATGCAAGGTGGCGTGGGTCAGGATGGGAAATACCATCACCTGCTGAACGCAATGCACACCCACGCCAGGAAAATGACCTATTGCATGGACCCTCCTGCTGTCAGCGGGCTGCTTGGCGCTCTGGTGTCCCTGAACCAGATGCAGGCCATGCCTCTTGTCATCAGTCTATGCAAGCAGTCCGTCCACCATGTCCCCCACTTCGCAGACGATGAACTCACCGCTGTGCTCGGGGCCCTAATGCACTTTGGTTACAGCGATCATGACTTTGTGGAGGCAATGGAGAGGTATGTTCCCCAAATGGCCTTCACCTCCCACCCTGAGACAGTAACCATGGTGATGCAGTTCTTTGGCCGGAGGAACATCCTGTCAGAGACTGTGTTTGACGCCATTGCAGAGAGCTTTGTGTACCGAGCGGACGACTACAGCACCAGCCAGGTGACGAGGCAGATCATGGCTCTCGGGAAATTCGGCTACCTTCCTCCCAACGCAGCAGATGTGTTCAGGAAAGTTGAAACCATCCTGTGTACACGCTTGTCGCACTTTCAGCCCCGAACGCTGCTCAACCTGCTCCACTCCTGCACCCTGATGGAGAGGTTCCCTGTTAATTTTGTCCCCAAAGTTTTCAACAATTTCTTCCTACAGGAACTGCAAGGTAAAACATCCTGTCAAACACCAGCAATACAACCTCTATGTTATTTAAACTATCTCATGTTGCAGGTTTTATGTTTGTCCCGTAATCAATCTATAATTTGGTCATTATCGTTCAAACAATAGACTAAAATAGATTGTACTGTGTTTCAGAGGAGAGCACGGGACTGGACCCGATCGCCATGGCACAGCTGACCCAGCTCTACATGACTTTGAAGCTGGAGTGTCCTAACTACAAGGTAAACATGTTTCAACAGTTAGATATGTTAAAGTTGAGGCCAGATCAACAGAATAACAAAGGAATAATGCACAGCCCCAAACCTGAAAACACACCCTCTTACTTAACATGCCACCAGTATGTAAGGCTCAGTGCACATCAGTTATCCGTGACTAAAACCTGAACATGTGACTTTCCCAGAGACAAAAACAAAAATAATACAACCTCAAAACAGATCTAATTCAGAACAAAATCTACTAAATTTAGTTGTAAAGTAATAACAAAATGGTTTCCATCTGTGAAACAAAGAGTTGCATGTGTGTCTTTACACGTTCTGTCCTCTCCTCAGGGTCTCAGGCTCCACCGCAACTACCGGGTCAAGTCTTTCCTCACATCCGGACGCTCTCTGGAAACCTCAGTGGACGGACAGCTGTACAACTCTGTGAAAAATGGACTGGTGCGTTTGCTCGGCGCTCGGTCAAACTTTGGATCCAAAGTTTTGACACCGTACTGCTACACACTGGGTAACACAACATCTGTTAGATCCTATGTCTGTAATACAATTCTTTCCAGGGGCTTAACATCAACTACTTCTTTGTTTTTGAAGATGTGGAGATCAAACTTGATGAAGAGGGGTATGTGCTGCCTGCCAGTCAAAATGATGACGTCCACAAAAGGTCAGTCGTTTTATTATTGAAAGAGGTTGCTACACTAAATAGAAAATGATTCTGATGTTCATCATTTAAAACGCATTGCACTGTTTCTTTTCATGGATGTTACAGGATAGCTCTTTGTATCGACGGACAAAAGAGGTTTGCTACAAACAAGAGGCAACTACTTGGAAAAGAGGCTACCAAGCAGAGACACCTGAGGCTTCTGGGATATGAAGTTGTTCAGGTTAGACCTTGAAGTGATTCAGCAGTTTGTTTGTTTTCATCCCTTTTAATGACTTATTCCAACATCGGTCATACAAGTATCTCAGGACTTTCTCACTGTTTAACCATGTCATTTTGTATCTCTTGTCCGAATGAAATGACTGAAAACGTTTATTTTCTTCCTAGGTTCCTTACTATGAGTTTGAACTGCAAAATAAGACCAGTGCCATTGAGTATCTGCACCAAAAAATCTTCCCTCACACGTACAGGATGAGCTGGTGATGATGTCACTCGGTATGCTGTGATTGTCTTTTTTTGAGCCCTTTCTTCTATAAAGGAATTTGTATTTATTTTTTCAAATAAATGTATATAAATGAAATGTGTTTTTATTATGCACTTTCACAAAATTAATTTAACAATTAAATGACTTTTAAATGACTTGGTTGTAGTCTTTGAAAAATATAATTTATTTTGTTCTTGGCAACAAACGCTGCAGAAACTGTACAAAGTTAAGAGAATCCAATTTCACTTCAGATACATACGATATGAGCTCACTCAAAATAATAATCACAACTTTTAATTAAAGATGACTGACTTGACATTAGTTTCCAAAATTCATTCAACAGAAGATGCTTTGGTTTATGATTATGCATTATAAGGCTAGGAGTGTCAGTTGGATACATAAAAAAGGCTATGATACATGTAAAACTAGCACGAGCATCCCGATTGCTCTTATGTAGCGGGAATCTGAGGAAGGCCGAACTCGTCCACCAGGACACCATCCTGAAACAGAAGAAGAAAGCCTATTAATGAAAGGTCTTGACAGTAGACAAATCAGAAAACCTGTTCATATTATCAAACCGAAGTACCCTGTTGACAGACTTGTCTCCGGGCAAGCCCTCTGGGATGGAAGGAGCCGTGGAAGCCTCATCCAGGTAGGAGCTGTCCTCGTCCATCAGGAGCTCATCTCCCAACGCGTCCAGCTCTGTGGACACGCACACAGTTCAACATTACAAACCGCAGCCATCTTTAGGACTATCACCTCATAGAAAGGAAGGGCGACAACCATTTATAAAAAAAAAAAATCTATGGGTAATGAGCTATTAATCATTATGGACAAAGTACAATCCCCAATCAGGGATAAAGAACTGTTTTACTGACCCGCTTCCAAGTCGTCCTCATCGATGTCAGGTGTGCCGTAGCTTCTGCCCATAGCCTCCTGGATTTCATTGGCGTCCTCCATCATGTCTCCGAGTTCATCTTGCAGATCCTGAATAAATAAATAAAAAGTGTTGTTGCATTTCACCTGTCAGCACTGACAGATTCTATTGGACGTAATGTAGTGACACCCTATTATATGCTGATATCACTTATGCTGGTTATAGCCGACACTTGATGGCAAATATGGCTCTCACATTACATTTAATATATATTTTAGAAACAAATACCTCAATCTGATCAATTTTCACATGCTTGTAGGCTTTCTTCATGTCTTTGAGGCCGACTTTCATGGCATCAACCTGAAAGGAAAAAGCACATGTTATTTCTGTCTGTAATTATGATTCTATGTGTGAAGACGTCCAGTAGAAAATGAACTCTCTTACTGTGGTTTTAGTGTCTTTAAGGGTCTGGATTGAGTAGTTTGTCTGCTCCATGTTGAACGACTGCTGCATGAGGTTATCTCTCTGGCCCTCGTACCTGGAAGACAAAATAATTATATAAATTAGACTTTCACATCAGTTGATGTTAAGAATAACTCTGGTTGATAGGGAAAATATTAGCACTTACATTCGCTTCTGCTTCAGAACTCTCAGAGCCTTTTGCTTGACCATGTTCTGTTGAATGAGAAAATGAGTGAGTATATTTCACAAAGGATATCAACAGAAGATCAACACCAAACATTAACTGGACAACAGTAAGAGTAAGTTGTATTGATTAAATTATTGATCATATAGTTTCTGATTTAAATAAACATCTGCAACACAAACTGAAAACGCATCTGTTCCGAGTGCAATTCGATTATTGTAAAAATAATAATAATAATAAAGAAAATACATTTTTATATATATATGCCGGCAGGGGCACAGTCAGTAGGGGCTTGGACTGGGAGCCGTAGGGTCGCCGGTTCAAGTCCCCGAACAGACCTAAATATGGAGTGTGGACTGCTCGCCAGTTCACCTCCTGGGCCCTGCCGTGGTGCCCTTGAGCAAGGCACCGGACAACCCCCTTCCCCCCCCCCCACTCCCATTGCTCCTCGGGCGCTGTACAATAGCTGCCCACTGCTCCTAGTACTAGACTCCTGGTACTAGGATGGGTTAAATGCAGAGGCCACATTTCACTGTGTGTGCTCTGCATGTGTGACCATTAAAGAGGGGTATTTATATATCTATAAATAAAAAAGCACTTTAAAGAGGCCTTGTAACTAATTCACCAGCACTTACAAATGGTATGACTTGGTTGAAGATAATATATCTGCACTTTGCTTGTTGTTCGGAGTTTGAATCTCTATGGTTTTTGCACTTATTGTAAGTCGCTTTGGATAAAAGCGTCAGCCAAAAGTAATGTTATAAAAATACAAGATCTGTATTCAGTGATCCATACAGTACAGCATCAAAATAGTGTCTTTTATAATAGCCAACTGTCCATGTACACACACGTTTTGAGCTCTGCCTTTCATAGCATATGTCTGTTATAAGAAAAACACAAATATAGGAATACATACATGTGTGTGAATGCTCACTTTATACAAAAATTAGAATATCATTTGGTCCTAGCTGTCAGCATCCTAAAGACCTTTTGTGTTACAGCATCGTTGGAAAATGAATCTCACCTTTGAGGGCCCGTCTCTCATCTTCTTCATCTGGTCCTTGTACTTCACTAACTCAGCATCTAGTCTGGCAATCTTCTTGTCAGTGGACTCCGTCCGAGAATCAACCTTCAAATAATAAAACACATGATAAGTACATCCACTTTTAATGAATTGCAGGATGCTAATCTTAAAAGCCAATAGCCAGGTCTAACTAACTGTTACATTGGAAAGAGGGCTTTTACATTAAGTGCACTACACAGAAGCTGAATTGAGGCTGATAGAGTGATAACCAGCAAACCCATTTACCTTCTATTGGCTAAAAATAGCTCTGCCCAGACATATAACCTGTACAACTGGTTGATGTCAGCCATTTCATTCAGAGAGAGACATGGTTTCGGTTGAATGCCACTTAAATGGCTCAAATCCCTGCTCAGAATACAATATGCTGATACATTGCGTTAACAGATACATCGAATGTTTCGTTAAAAACCCTTGTTTATCGACCGATACTAGCCACACATTGTGTGTGGGTATAAACGCCAAGTGGGATTATACTTACTTTCATCAGTAAAGCAACAACTATTAACCATTAGGCTCGTTTATAATGACATGATAATGGCAGTAAATATGGCACACTTAGGCCTGTTTACTGCTCATAAAAGTGAGCTAGCAGTTAGCTTAGCCAGCCGAGAGGGGAACCATCTTTGTTTACTTTGTTCGTGACAGCGTCTATAAAGTTATTTCTGGATTATACTTACACTCCCTATGCAGTCCGTAAGGTTCGGTGGTGGACCCTTGGGCGTTCCTCTTCCAAAAAGTCGGTTCATTTTGGCAAACAAATTAAGGCTTTTATCTTCGTTAGCTCGCTACGCTGTCACCGTCCGCCGTCCAGCTGAGGGAAAACACCAAAACACCCGGAAGAGACTGTGGGATGACGTCAGAGGAGTCACATGATCATTGCTCACTCAGTCCATAGATGTATACATCTCAGTCACACCCTACAGTACAAACAGCAGTTTGTCTTTTGTTCATGTTTAGATTATTTGTTATATGTATGTATGTCCCTAAACAATATTGTGTAACTTATATATTTTTTGGCATTTACAACAGAATGTGATATTTAAACACTCAATCGTAACTATACAATAACACATAGGGATGGGGTTTTAATGACTTTTTCCCCTTCCACTGCACCTGAATGAAGTATGTAACAAAAATAAAGACGACAATTTAAATAAAGAAAAATATAGAAATTCCAAATAAGGATTTTGAGGAAAAACATTCCATATTTCAGGTTTTGTTTTGCTTGAATGTTGCATATGTCTAAAAATGTGCTCACAAAACAGCACATCTGGAGCCATCAATAATGTACACATTGCAAAGAGAAGCTGGTTTGTTAATAGCACTTATGTAAAATTATAATGTCAAGTTCTGTGTATGAAACTATCAATCAGAGCAGAATTAGTTTCTATTGATTACTCTAGCTACATTTTAGTAATGGCATGTTGTATCCTCTGGAGGGAGCTGTGGTCATACAGTAAAACCCAGAATCTACACCTGCAGGAGGATCGTCGACCTCACACTGAAACTCTGTAAGGGAAAACAAAAGGGGAAAACTGCTCTTCATGTTCGTTTTTATATAAGGTATTCAAATAAATGAGTCAATGCAAACATAGAAGGACTTTCCAGCAGCCTCGAAGGAGAGCGTCACCCACTATCAAGACTTCACAAATGAAAACTGACAACATGAGCATGCTGCAAGAAAAAAGAATCAATGTGGGTTTTTTAAACTTAATTTAATATTGAGCAAGTCACACACAGAACGATTTGATCAATATGTCTTCTGATGGATGACAGATGACAATGCCATTATACATCAGCAGCTAATTTAAACAGTAAGCACAGAGAATGAAAAGAAAACAAATGATGTTTTGGTCACAGTGGAGTTTCTTATAATAATGTCTCTTATTAAGTTGTCAAAAAACACAACTTCTGTGCTTTATCTATTGTAATGCCGTCATACATAAACATTTGTTAACAAACCAATAAAGCTCTGGATTATGGAAATAAGAATGACACAGAATGGGAGTTAAGTGTATCACTGAAATCCATTAATACTTACTGACCTCTAATGAGATAGATGACTTAATACCATGAGTAATCATATGTTTATATAATACAGAGTATATTTGCAGTACATTCAAAAGGACAGCATTGCACAGGCGTCAAGCACAGGCTGCAGATGTTGCTTTATACTATCATAGCAATGATCATTGACATGCCACAAATACAGTATTTCTTAATTTAGTCTGTGCAAAGCTCTTTTGTTATCCATACAAAATAATGTATACATACTATGTACAGCTCATAAGATAAAAACGTGTTTGAACAGCTATGTTGTTAGATTGCCCAGATGAGAACATTACTAGATTGAGGGTGTCATGGTAAAAGCCACACAAAGCATGAGGGTGTCATGGTAAAAGCCACACAAAGCACACATGAATTAACTATATACCATAAATCAAACAGCTTATCAATCTGGAAACAACACCAGAGTGAAAGCTGATAGAGAGCCCTCTGTCAAATTTTAAAAGCACATTCAAGTCCAGGATTTCAAACTTTATTCGTCGATAAAACCTCTGCTGCGTTGATGCGGCAGAGGTTTTTGTTTACCTCCCAGTGACTTCAAAGTCCAACATTTTGGCACATATCTGCTGTCAGTGATTCATCAAGCTAACATGTTAACTGCATTTCTTTAAAAGCAGTGGCTGTTTGACCCCATTCAGTTATCATTACTAAAATAATTTATCGCCGCAACAACCGTGTTATCCTGGACTATTAAAGGCACATTTGGCTATAGAAATACAAGGAGGGAATGATAGAAATAGATTGAATTTGAGAAACGCATAAAGAAAATGCGACTTAATGATCATAAAACATTAAAACACTGATGTCAAGGAGCCAATGTTGTTACAGTCTTTTTTCTGATTTGTCCAATAAATGAGAAATGAATGCTGGCAACATGCAATATTTTTCAGGATGTGCCATATGGTTTGGGGATGCCCATTCACAGCAATATTTAAAGTATATATTGTTAATAAGTTTCTGATACTGTCTAGCAGGACAGGGAACGCTTGAAAATAGATGGTATTGACCATCTTTAATCACATTTGGTCTTTTTTCCTACTTCACCCAATCAACCGAAGTGAACAATCTATGTAACAACTCCCATGAGGGTAAAGCAAATCAAAATGGAGTACAATTTATCATGTAAAACCTTCCATTGCTTTCTGAAGTTATGTCATATGAATATTGGCACTAGTCAATGTCCAAGTGATGATGAAAAAAAAGTCAAAACTACATGGCTGATGTGACATGGGTTATGCCAAAGTCATGTGAGTCTTCTTTTCCGATGTGGGAAATTGAAGACAGTTCCACGGCTAGTCATGCCGGCTTTCTAGTCCCATCGGTGTTCTCCAACGGAACAGCGGCCTCCCTCACGCTGCTTGCAATCTTCTTGCTCCCCGACACCTTCTCCCCCTTCAGTTTGGCCGAGAGGCAGAAGTCTTTAAAGCAGCGTTTAAAGTTCTCATCTAGAAAGGCATACAGGACAGGGTTCAGGCTGCTGTTAGTGTAGCCCAGAGCCACACAGAAGAAGTAGGCAGCCATGATGGCGGTGGTCTCAGGTACGCCCACCAGCGCCTTAACCAGGACGAAAATGTGAATGGGCGTCCAGCACACCACGAACACAGCCACCACGACCACCACCAGACGCGTGATCCTCCGCAGGTTGCGATCTTTCTCCCTGGAGCCGGACAACATTCGGACGCTCTTCAGCCTCAGGACCATGAGGGAGTAGCACACAGTGATGATGAGCACAGGCACCACGAAGGCAAAGACAAACACACAGATCTTCATCAGTGTGTCCCAGTACACGTACGGCTCTGGGAACTGCAAGGCACACTCAGTTATTCCTGCAAGAAAAAGGGAAAGAGAAGATATGAATTAAGCAATGAAGTGACACTTAATCATAAATAAAATTCCACTCTGCCTGCTATCAGCGGTTATGCTAATCTTCACCCATACGGGAACATCTTGCACTCAGCCCTGATTTTTTCTTTTCAGGAAGTGCGAGGCATGATGTGTGGCTAATGGAAAACTCTTCACTGCCAAATGGATAGAATATATTACCGCTCTTTACATTTTATTTACATTTTTTAATTAAGTCAGTAATGTTATTCAGTGTGCGTGAAAGCACTTCCTCACCACTCTTGGTCTGGGTGCCACCGAGGATAAAAGCAGGTATCCCCGCAACCGAGGACAGGATCCAGATGCACACGTTGATCATCTTGGCTTTGATTGGAGTGCGGAAATCCAGAGCTTTCACAGGGTGGCACACAGCCACGTAGCGATCCACACTCATCATGGTGAGGGTGAAGATACTGGTGAACATGTTGTAGTAGTCGATGGAGATGAACACTTTGCAAACCACCTCACCAAAGGGCCAGGTGTTCAACAGGTAGTCCGTGCTCTGGAAGGGCATGGTGGTGGTGATGAGGGCATCAGCCAGAGCTAGATTGAAAATGTAAATGTTGGTCGCTGTCTTCATCTTCGTGTACCTGGCAAAAATGCAGAGCACAAGGTTGTCCTATGATGACCAGAGCGTACCTTCCACTGAATACATATATAGCATGGCTGGCCCTGAAGACCTTCCTTCATGGCTTGTTATGAATTAAACATTGTTCATTAGTCCACAATGCTTCTATGAATCCGTAATGTAATTTTTCGGACACTTTATTGTTATGTATAGTATGCTGCTCGCAGGTCATTTATGGTCAACTTGTTTTCAGTTCATTTAATAATGATAGCATTAAAGCAGTATGTGATGACTGTTTAAGCTTTAATTTTTTAATCGTGGTGGCGCCTAGAGGGACTCATTGAGATTAAAATAAGGTCCTTCACAATTGCATTTTCTAATGCATGGTGATTTTGAATGGCCTACATAAATGTTTTGTTTATGTTAATTGAGTTATTGCAGCATGTTTACTCAAAATCAAACTTAAAGTATTTTTATCCATTGATCAAGTCCTTGAATGAAGCCATTAATGATGATTTTGCAGGGCAGACGACGTACTTAAAAAAAAAATTCTAAATACTGGGAAAGTTGAATTATATGTTTTTTTTCAGCAAATCAACTTCCCAATGTGAATACTTATATATTCTGTGACTGGAAACAACACTGAATAGAGCTGTGAGGGTGAAACACAACATAAACCAAAACAATGATCTGAAAGGCACTACAACGTAACCCCTTTAATTTGAAGGCTAGTTGTTTTAAACATTTTATTGCAAACTTATTAATTAGATGCTTTAACACTATCATTTAAAGCCATAAAGGGTCTTGTCAAGTTCTTCTACTTATGGCTTATTGCTCAACGTTTACGTAACATTCGGCCTAGTTGGCGTTGTGAGTGTTTAAATGAGGGCAATTCCAGATGTTGTTTACACTAAATCAACATAAAACCTTTTTACTGCCGCTTCATTGTCCTCCACGGAGCAACTCAACCGTAGAAACGTACAGTCCTTTCTGTAACTGAAGTGATAAACTTGGCATGCGTTGCAATCAATCTGATTTGAGGTAATTGTTGTCTACCGACAGAGCATTCTGGGTGCCACTGCTGCATTTCACATTACATCAGTGGAGATTGGTTGGCTCCCATAGACAATAAATAACAACCAATGAGGTGCAAGCAAGCTATCGGCCTGATAAAGCACCACAGGTTTCAACTATGGTTAGTATCATATCCACAAGACTGGGAGAATTTTACAGAATATTGTTGTATTTTATAGCTTGAGGGTTGATACTGCAGATTCATAAAATGGGTCGGTTGGAAGGAGGCACAATCATTTATATTGGGTTCCACATTTGAATGACAGAATTCGTCTTAACCTTTCTTTGACAACATACAGCTTCTGTTTTTACCTTACAAGCTACATATGCATATGTATGTTTAAATGTGTTAGATCATAGCCATTTAACTTGCACATTAAATGCTAGCCCTTGGGATGAGCTGTATAAATGGGCTTTTAGCAGAGTACCTTTAGAATCATGGCACTTAATAGAACGATGACAAAGACCAGATGTCCTTAAGGTCACTGTGAAAGCCCAAGGGTTGGTGCCAGTGCCTTCTCCACAAGTAATAACATTTACAGTGACTGCAGAGGAACACATTCTTTAGCATGGACCTCTGTTGTTTTCAGTATTTTCCAAAAACACATGGCATAATTAAGCTTCATGTATGTGCCAGAATAAAAGTCCCTGTCAAATATCATGTAGGCCTAGGTATAAAATACAGCTCTAAATAACCTTAATATTCCTAATTTAATCTTCTATAAACGTATCGTGAGATATATTTATTGTATGGATTTTACTTTAAAACGTTCTTACCTGATGATCACATACATGACCAGGCAGTTGCCCAACAAGCTGACCACAAACACCACGGAGTAGACCGCAGTGATGATGGGGATTATGGGGGACATGTGTTCCGCCTCCCAGCTATCATTGCGGGTCACATTGCGGCTCTCGGAGTATCCGGACACCCAGGCTGAAGAATTCACCGGACAGTCGTCCAGCAGCGTGGATAGGCACTTATTCTCTTCTTTGAATATTTCAACAGGAGTGCTTTCCATCTCGACACCTTTTTTGTTTTAGAAAAAAGCTTCAAAATAAGACTTCCGATTGGAAAACATGCTCATAGGGCAGTACAATGATATTGCGCTCAACAACGGGGTTACATTAGCTGCACATATATAATATAGGCAACATAGAAAAACAATTTTATCCTGATTAGAATTAAAAAAAGAAATCATAACGTTTCTTTAAAAGCCTTTCAAACTTCACTCAAGCTACTTGTAGATCATGCAAAACAAACAGGAGCTCCAGCCTTTCAGGAAAAAAATCACTGTAATTCAAAGCTCGCAGGTTACTCACCTTGGTTGTCCCGGATTGTCGGACACAGAATATAAAATAATTCAAAAACGTATTCAGCCTAGGTTGTTTTGTTGCCTTGGTGGAGGATACGGCTCGTCAAAGTTTGTGGATGGTTATGCGCTATGCGCGCCTGGAGAGGAGCAGCAGCGGCTTTGCGGACACTCATGCACACGCACTGAATGAGAGGCGGCGCGCAGTCAGACACACACACACACACACACACACACACACACACACACACACACACACACACACACACACACACACACACACACACACACACACACACACACACACACACACACACACACACACACACACACACACACACACACACACACACACACACACACACTTCACCCAAAATATGAGATGACAGAGCGATGACAATAACCTGCAGGCAGCCACACAGCCTCCTACAATCTTATGTCCAAAACTGTTCATCATTAACACATCATTGACAAGAAATAAAAAAATGCATCAATTTTATTTGTTTGCCTTTCATATTTTAAGGGAATTTGGCCAATTAGCTAAATGTCACTCAGTGTAAACAGACATTGGAGCAGCTGAGGGGGAAACAGAGGGGAGAGGATGCAGGAGACATGAGGTTACATTCAGCTGTGCACCATACTGCACATTTCAGTACAGAGAGGGTCAGGAGAGGAAGAGGATGACTAAGGTCCAGTGCCCGCAGTTTTCAAACACCCAACTAAATACAATGACCAATATGTTCACCTTTGAATTTGTTTTAAAATGAAAAGTTGGGACGCAGCTCTCGGAATGCTGCTGTTCTTTTTTTTACATTGCCTATTAATTCACTTGATAACAGCTTTTATTAAACACATACATTTTGTTAGATAGAAAATAGCTTTAATTACCTGTGAACAATGCTGCTTTGCACAATAGCCCCACAGTCTGATTTATAGATCTCCTTCCCAAAGGATCCCCTGCAGTATGGCTGCCAGGAAAGAAGAAGCTCTTCTTTATCCCACAATACTGGCATCACAGGCTGTTAAGACTGAGTATTATTTTAGTCAGTGAAGTGTGTTGGACGACAGATTGCACAACTGTGTGAGGTGCATCTGTCTCACTGTGATGCTGTGTCTAACCCCTCGAAAACATACCGCTTTATTCGCTTGAAGTCTACAGACAACAACATACTTCTGCTAAGGGTTTAATAGGCTTCAGCTAAGCAATGGGTAGGCTTAATATATATAGGCTGTTGGCACTAAAATAAATAAAGACAAGACAAATACTGTAGATTAACAAATACAACCAATATTGTTATTGCATAACCAACATTTCTTGCTTTTTTACTGTAATAAGATGCTTTATCGTCACATTTTGTTGCAAGTCCAGTTTGTGTCAAAATAAGGATTTACTCATACATTTTCATGTGGGCTTTTGTCATCAGAAAAAGACCCACATCTATATATTTTAGACATACAGCAGTGGTTTTGTCGGACCCAAAGAAGTACAGCAAATGTACAAAAAATACAAGGGTTACATTGTTTACTGTATACTTTATTTGTAAGTGGAAATGTCTGTGTAAAGGTGATTGATTTCAACTGAAAGCCAGGATTGTTTTTATTACTTCTTTGTCTGGTTTATATCTTGTCCTATTTAAGAAGACGATAGATTTTATTTATATTACTGTAGATCATTTTCTCCAGTTGTTTCAAAGATAGCAAACGTCAGGGCTTCAGGGGTTATATGAAACAATCAGACTAAAATAAGAAACTTACGCACATTTACATTCGATGCATGATTAGGGCAATGCTTTGTGTCAATGTTATGCAACAGGGATTTACATTGGATCTTAAAGTGACTCATCCTCAGCATGTCATTGCTAGGCAAAGTAACCAATCTGCTACAGAGGAGCTAATGTCTGAGGATGTGAAAATATCTCATTTCCTGATTCCTCAAGGCCCCTCTGGAGAGATGGATCTGTGAGCTTCTGTTAGCAATTGTGGTGAACATATGGAGAAAAACACTGAAAAGTTATTGCTGCAGAGAGAATATAATTTAAACAGTTTCGTTGCTGACTCAAGCAAGCTAAATTCTGCTCTGGGTGTTAGCTTTTATTACATAACTGTAGTCAGAAATCTCTGTGCAATGAGGTCGATTAGTGGGGGATATTCCTAGGGAAATGGAAAAGAATCCACAGATATATATTTTCTTATCTACTTACACTAAGAGTTCTTGGATTTGTGAAATGGCACCTTTCATTTTAAAACCAGTGAACATTACACATTTTGAATGAAAGTGTTCTGCTCATGTCAATATGTTTTTGTGAAGCTTGTGAAAGTTCAGTTTTACGTGCCGGTAACCTTAACTCTAACAAAATCAATTTATTTAGCTATTTCCTAAAGCTAAGAAACTATAGAACTAATATTTGAAAGTGATGGATGTTATTTAGACACCTTCATTATGTGGCAGCTCAATATTTGCTTCCTCTGGCTAATTACTAGCCATTTTAGTGAGTACTTCATTTTTCTTCTATTAACTGGCTATTATATCCCTAGCGGTCTCACCAGATGAAGGTGAAGGAATCGAAACCATGTGTCATGAATACATTTTATTGCAATTAAATCACCAGAGTGCAGGAACCTCTCTTGACTCCGGACTTTTCCTCCTGTTCACCTGTCTACAAGAAACTGAAGGTGAGCATCAGCCTTCACACACAAGTTTCATATCCCTCCTGGTTGGAGATTCACTGACTGTAGTTCAGTTATAGAAGTGTAAGTTTGAAAACACTGACTGAACTGTCTTGGGGCTCTGAAGAAAAAGGTGAATTCTTGAAAAAGGAGGGAAAAAATCTTCCCCAGCACTTGGTCAAAGTACAGAGCTACAGCATCCCCCGTGTTCTTTGAGGAGGAAAACATAATCTGGGATACTTACCATGTGCATGCTGGGCAAGGGTGATAGAAATAACTTTGTATACAAATGGAAAAACATGCCAGAAGAGAAGTCAGATGAAAACAGCCCCTGTTGAGAGAGTTTTGCTTGCATGCTAGCGTAAACTGATTATTTCTTAACTCAGAATACAACTGAGGCTGGATGGTAACACTGTTATTGCACATTTTACTTACATTTCTCATGTATTTATTTATGTTGTTGTAAAATGGTCAAACTACCAAAAGACCCTTATTTCCCCCTGGGTTAAATAAAGTATTCTGATTTCCGATGTGTTAATCAGGGGATCACTGACATATGCCATCCCTATCTGCTCAACTAGCATGGCAATACAAAATGTAAACATGTGAATTTCATTTTTAAGACTTAGTCAATGTTGCTGTAGAAGTACTTCTTTGCTTAGGCTCTTGATCTCTGCTGTAATAATCCAAACAAATCCAGTTCAGGCTCTGCATTGGCAAACATCTCTCGACTCAAACTGGCGCTGACCTCTGACCCCTGTTGCAGAGAAGCAAGCTCAAGAAAATCTTACCTCAGAAATCAATACACCATCACATTAATACTCAAACTAGATCCCATCTTTCCTTCACAATTGAGTTTAGAGACAATTCTGTCCTTGTAAGTATTTCATTTGTACATCGGCAGTGAGGGATTAAATAAATACAGAGGATTACTTTGAATGCCTGTGTCTGTGATCACCAACAAACAGCATCAGAAATGATTATGTGTGTTATTTTGAGAGAAAAAACCTTGGATTTGTAACTCCTAACAGGTGTCAAAATAGCCAAAAGAATGTTATATGAGCTAATTTAGGATCTAATGAATGCTTTTAAGGTTTCCCTGTCAGAAAAAGGGAATTGTTTTCTTTTCCAGGAAGAGACCAACGGCGTCAAAAAGATATGTACCCATCTCTATCCAAATAGCTCATTTGCAGCAAAACAGCTTAACTCTAACATATTCATGTTCTTTTGCTGTTTCCTAAAGCTAAGAAACTAGAACTAATATTTGAAAGTGATGGATGTTAATTAGACACCTTCATTATGTGGCAGCTCAATATTTGCTTCCTCTGGCTAATTACTAGCCATTTTAGTGAGTACTTCATTTTTCTTCTATTAACTGGCTATTATATCCCTAGCGGTCTCACCAGATGAAGGTCTAAGGAATCGAAACCATGTGTCATGAATACATTTTATTGCAATTAAAGCACCAGAGTGCAGGAACCTCTCTTGACTCCGGACTTTTCCTCCTGTTCACCTGTCTACAAGAAACTGAAGGTGAGCATCAGCCTTCACACACAAGTTTCATATCCCTCCTGGTTGGAGATTCACTGACTGTAGTTCAGTTATAGAAGTGTACGTTTGAAAACACTGACTGAACTGTCTTGGGGCTCTGAAGAAAAAGGTGAATTCTTGAAAAAGGAGGGAAAAAATCTTCCCCAGCACTTGGTCAAAGTACAGAGTTACAGCATCCCCCGTGTTCTTTGAGGAGGAACACATAATCTGGGATACTTACCATGTGCATGCTGGGCAAGGGTGATAGAAATAACTTTGTATACAAATGGAAAAACATGCCAGAAGAGAAGTCAGATGAAAACAGCCCCTGTTGAGAGAGAATATAGTTAAATAAGGATAATATTAGGTGTAACAGAATTATGTTTAGCATGCTCAGTGTCTTAGTAAGCTAATTATCGCTTAACTCAGAAAACAGCTGAGGCTTTTGAGAATGCCATCTGTTTTGATGATAACACTGTTATTGCACATTTTACTAAAATGTCTCATGTATATGTATTTATTTATGTTGTTGTAAAATGGTTCAACTATCAAAAGACCCTGATTTCCCCCTGTAAAGTATTCTGATGTGTTAATCAGGGGATCACTGACATATGCCATCCCTATCTGCTCAACTAGCATGGCAATAAAAAATATAAACATGTGAATTTCATTTGAAAGACTTAGTCAATGTTGCTGTAGACTAGAGTATACTTCTTTGCTTAGGCTCTTGATCTCTGCTGTAATAATCCTGTTCAGGCTCTGCATTGGCAAACATCTCTCGACTCAAACTGGCCCTGACCTCTGACCCCTGTTGCAGAGAAGCAAGCTCTGGCGGGAGTGGTTCAGTCTGTAGGGGGATTGGACTTTGGACCGAAGGGTCGCCGGTTC